AATTACATCACTGTCACAGTAAAATACGTAAACAAATAATAAATCTAAGTTAAGTAAAAGACGTAGACGAGAAATAATTCTAATTTGACAAGTTTGTTGCGCGATACGACACTATAATGAATTAACTCCAAGTTAATTAACATTTTAACTTGTGTGGATAAACTTAGCTCAACTTTAAAACGACATTTTGTTTATAACGTCATAGCGGCGTTGACGTCATAGGTCACATGTGTGAGTATCAGTGATCTTTTTCTTCTTGCAGTACAAGTACCCAATTATCTGATATAAAACCTAATTTATGATAGTTTATGATAAAACGATGAAAAATGTCATCCTTCTCTATAAATATTATCAAAATAAAGCAGACTTTTATAGGTTAATACGTTCACAATTGTCTTTATATATCTTAGTTATGAAATTGAGCTTCCGTCGAAAGAACGCTGATCGTATAGAGTCCTGGTGTCGAAAAAGATTGGGAACCACAGTACCATATAACACTAAAAATGTCAAAGATAAATCGTTGCACATGGAAAGAATTTCGTTTATCTCATTAACCCTAGTTTTACTAAGTCATGGTTCTTCTCTCCATCATGATATGTCAAGAGGCTGTTTTTTTTTTACATGCTGTGAGAGGATTACTGAAAATAGAATAGACAAATTAATTAATTACTCATTAGATATAATTAATGATATTTGCAAGATAATTGTTTTTAGTTTTCAGTTCTAGAATTAAATTTCAAAAAAACGATTGAAAATAACTTTGACTTACGCGATATTTAAAGCCGTGGTGGCTCAAGGGATAGAGCACTCACCTCCCAATGAGGTATCGGGTTCGAATCCCAACGATGGCAGGGCATAAAATCAGCGCACACCTTGCACCCACCACAGTGCTGACGTAAAATATTCTCAATGTATGGTGGATCATGTGTTAAAGTCCCCTTGCCTTCAAGCAAACGTGGGAGGTTGTCGTTACTTACATGGGAGGCCATGTAAGTCAAATGCGGGTGAGTTCAATGAGATAAGATACCTCCACGAAGGTAAGTTTCTCCCAATATTTGATGCAAGAGTTTTATTTTCTTCTGGATTGGGTTCAAAAATACAAGACTACGGAGTTGAACATCTGTAGTCATGAACTGAGAATTGCGTCTGCTGATCAACAATAGGCATATAATATAAGATGAAATAACAAGAAATTTAAAATATTTAAGAGTATAAATAATAATGCATATTAAAAAAATAAAATTCTAGTAAATATATGTAAGTTTTTCTAGTTTATATATGCAAGCTAGTTTAACTTACTTTCTCCCACGCACAGTAAATGGGCGTCTACGAACTTTATCATATCATGTAGTGTCGTAAAGCCAGTGTGCCTTGGAGAAAGATTTAATAGTTTCCAGTTGATCTGAAAAAAAATTTGAAATGAATTTACTTTTGAGAAGTTAAATTATATATCGTAAATTATTTACCCCCCCCCTTTTTTTTTTTGAAATATTTATGAAATTTAAATCAATAATTAGTCTTAGCCTCTTCCGATTATTATTTTTCACAAATGCGTCGTTTAAATTAATAATAATGCATTTATTTTAAGTCTTATTGTCATCTCGAAAAGAAAAGGAGAGCGTTTTTAAATAATAGCTCCATCTGTTTGGCCCTGCCCTTTGCTTCTTTGAAATATCGTGTTTTATAAATTTAGCCAGAGCCTTGAAGGATCGGATCAGGGGATAGGGATAAACCAGAGTTGAAGATGATTTTATACTCACCAAAACTATCAGTATATAGCAGGGGTGGCCAAGCTCCTTGATAGTCGAGCCATTTTTGAAAATTTGAAATTTTCTAGAGCCGCAATTAAGTACGTATTTAAAAGGTAGGCAAAAAAGTTATGAAATTTTTCTTCTGCAGAAATTATATTTATTGAAAACATATAAATAAAAGTACAAAATATGGGTATTGAATTCAAAAATTAAAAATTAAACACATTCATTTTACTTCTCTTGATAATTCTTTAAAATTTGGTAAATAATTGGTGACAGCACTTCTCAATAATTCTTTGAGATGCTGGTTAGTTAATACTGATCGGTGTGTAGATTTCACGAATTTTAAAGTGGAATAAAATGATTCACATTAGTACGTTGTTCCGAATATTAAAAAAATACGACAAGCAGCCTTTTTTAATTCATGATACTTCGATTCTGGTACAAATTTCCTAATTTAAGTAATCGACGTCAACTTATATTTTAATTGTAGAGCTTGATCTTCCTATTAATTCTAATTCTCCAAATGCTTTTTGGGTCATAATTATACTGGAAATGGAAAACACTCACCTTGAATTACGTTAATTTCAAATGGATTCAGAAAAAAATCACGAGACGATTTAAAATATTTCAATTCTTAAAATCTATTTTGGAATTCCGTCAATGTTCTTTCTAGCTTTTTTATATATTCGTTGAGTTTTTCTTGTTTAATATTGGAACAAATTTTTTTAATTCGAGGAAAGGGACAAAATGTTTTATTTTAAATGTCCTTTAGAAAAAGTTGTAATTTAGTTTGAAAACTAATATACACTGTGAGCGGTCAGATATTGTATTTTGTCTTTCTCCTGCAATTGTAAATTCAGTGTTTGCAAATGTTCCATGACATCACTTAAAAACATTAAATCTTGTAACCACTAGCCATCGTCTAATTCTGAATAGGTTATTTCCTTCTCTTTTAGAAATGCAGTTATTGGATCAAACAAATCTAATACGTTGTAGCAAGATAACCATCTAACAATGCAAAAGAAATTAATGTCATTTGGTCAGTAAGGTTAGTTCTTCGTCCTTTAATTCTTTAACCCCTTGGGGACGGGTGATTCAGAAAAGCATTTGTACAAAATCAGAATCAAGTTGCAATTAAATAAAAAGCGGTAACTTAAATGTAGTCGTTGCTAATTTGACAGACTTACTTTGCTTTTTCTTTAATTACTGTTAGTTTACTCATATATATAATCAATGTTAGTTCAAAGTATAACTAAATAGTTTTAATTTGAACAAAGTAATGGTGAATTAAATAAATNAGGTTATTTCCTTCTCTTTTAGAAATGCAGTTATTGGATCAAACAAATCTAATACGTTGTAGCAAGATAATCATCTAACAATGCAAAAGAAATTAATGTCATTCGGTCAGTAAGGTTAGTTCTTCGTCCTTTAATTCTTTAAGGAAATTTTTGAATTGTCGATGATTTTTTGCATCGGGGCTAATGTAATGTACAATGTGGAACACTGCTTTCATAACATCAGGATATTTTAAATATTTTGTAACGAGATGTTCTCGATGAATTATGCTGTGAATCGGTATGAAATGTGGAATTTGAGAATCATCTCTTAAAATCCCAATGAGACCGATTTTTTTTGCCCAGCATTACCGGAGCTCCCTCAGTTGCAATGCTTACAAGTTTATTAAGAAACAAATCAAAAGTTTTCGTTATGGAATAATGCATTTTTAATATCGTCACCTCGGGTTGATTCTTGAAGTGCTACTAAATCTAATAATTCTTCTTCAACAACGAAGTCAGGTGAAACAAAACGTATGACATTTGCCAATTGCAGAAGATCTGTGATACCAGTTGATTCGTCAAGGAATGACAATAATTTTTTTAAAAATATAATAGCACTAAAATGAAAAGGGAACTCAGATACATTAATCGAGAGCCACAAATAATCCTTCAAAGAGCCGCATGTTGGCCACCCCTGGTATATAGCTACAGATATGTAAAATTACCGTCGCCTATTACTTTTAGCCACTGTTTAAATTCAATTACTGTATTACTTATACTAAAATTTACAAATACACGCTTTCTTGATATTCATCGATGCTATTTGATATTCATTTTTTTTCCCGCCATGTCAAATTTTAAGAGAATAAAAATTATATCAAGCGATCAGAAAATTTACTGTAAAGTGGCAGTTAGATTATTCTACTTCTGTTAAAAATTAAATTGTGTGTAAAATGTACAGTGCAGTTTTTACTACTTTGGAAAAAAGCTAATACAAATAAATACTATTTGACTCATAAAGAACATAAATACTTCAGTTTGTAGCTGAATATCGGCAAAAATTATTTATTGAAAAATACTTCTTTTTTATTACTTCTATTTGAAGCAGTATTTAAATACATGAAAAGAATTATTAAACAATAATGTTACAATAAATTATTAGCTTTACGTGAATCTAAAGTTTTATTTTATATTGTAAATTTCTGTTTAAACAAATCACTTCATGTTTTCCCTCATAAATTCTATACAATGCAATTAAATCATGAAACTATAAAGAAATTAATTTAATTTCACAAAGGTAGCATTTATAAATCTATCAACTCATACGGCATTCCTTTATCACTATCTAATTTAAACATATCCTCTCATGGTATACCATACCTGCCAACTTTCACTCTTTTCGAGAATGGATTTTCAGAGTGGTTGTAAAACAATAAACGAAAAACAATCTGACTCAAAAATATATTTATATTTTGATCCCGTTGAAATTCACTTGCCCAAGGATTATTATGCTTTCATATATTTATTGTAATTATTTACAGGTAGTGGTGGTCAAACTTATTTATAATTATAATTATAATTCAAAAAGTCAATTGGAATAACTTGAGTATTGCTACCACTTTAAATATGAAAATAAAATCTTCGGGAAAATCCGGAAGATTTGTTAGGTGTGGTATACATAATAGATATATTTAAGTGACGAAGTATCTACCACCTTAAATTAAAAAATATATGTAATATATTTATTTTTCTAAGCTGGTCTTAGTGAAGTTTACAATCGAATTACAGCTTTTATTGAAGTATTTGCTAACCATTTTCAATGATGGTAGGTACAACGAGACTTAATAGGTAAGTATTTTTATTATTTGAAACTTTTACGGTCTTGTTGCTTGATTGTACATTGTAACATGCGCAGACTATTTATAAAATGCCGTGTGGAGGCTTTCCGATGTAGAAGGTGATGGTTGTCCGCCTTACAAGCAAAGGCAGTGTCATAGCTTACTGAGGTTTTACCGAGACGTGATTATGGCTAGTTGAAGACTTTTCCCAATAACCCGCCATGTCGATGTGAAAAACCGTCGGCATAGGCAATTTTTTGGGAACCTCTTCGGAGGTTTATTATTTCAAGAGTAAGAATCTTTCTCTTAAGCTTAAGAGTAAGATCTTTGCCCTAAATGCCAACAAAACCAGGCATCACCTGAGCACATCTTGAACTGTTTAGGGCTGGACTGGAACGACAGTCATTCCTCTCCCATTCTGGTTTCGGATTTTCTTAATGTCAACGGATTTATTGATCTGGTCTGATCCCGTCAGACCAGATGGGAATTAGCAACAACAACAAGAGTAAGAATATTATGTAAAGATCTCACTCTACTCTATTATATCTACTCCATACCTACCAACCTTTACGCATTTGGAGTAAAATTTTATTTCTATATTTAAAATGGTAGTAAAATGTATGCTTTTTATGTACTATTCCTTGCATTTATAAAGTTAATTTATTATCTTCATGACCACCACTATATTTTTAAAAAAAATTAAGCATATATATTAATATGTATTAAAATAACGGTAGACCGCCGAAGGATTTTCAAAATACAGTATTTGTCTCTGTTTGAAATTGAAATACAAATTCTACCTTACTAGTACTGGGGAAAATCATCCTCGAAGGGATTATAAGTTGGCAGGTATTTAACTCTATAATAACTTTCATTTTTTTAACTTGAAACCGGTAGCATAATAGCCAACTTTTTTTTATTTACATGAATACTGGGGAAAATCATCCTGGAAGGGATTAGGAGTTGGCAGGTATTCTACTCTATAATAACTTTCATTTTTATAACTTGAAACCGGTAGCATAATAGCCAACTTTTTCTGATTTATATGAATACTGGAGAAAATCATCCTGGAAGGGATTAGAAGTTGGCAGGTATTCTACTCTATAATAACCTTCATTTTTTTTAACTTGAAACCGGCAGCATAATAGCCAACTTTTTCTGATTTATATGAATACTGGGGAAAATCATCCTGGAAGGGATTAGAAGTTGGCAGGTATTCTACTCTATAATAACTTTCATTTTTTTAACTTGAAACCGGTAGCATAATAGCCAACTTTTTTTTATTTATATGAATACTGGAGAAAATCATCCTGGAAGGGATTAGAAGTTCGCAGGCATTCTACTCTATGATAACTTTCATTTTTTTGACTTGAAACCGGTAGCATAATAGCCAACTTTTTTTGATTTATATGAATACTGGGGAAAATCATCCTGGAAGGGATTAGAAGTTGGCAGGTATTCTACTCTATAATAACTTTTATTTTTTTAACTTGAAACCAGTAGCATAATAGCCAACTTTTTCTTATTTATATGAATACTGGGGAAAATCATCCTGGAAGGGATTAGAAGTTGGCAGGTATTCTACTCTATAATAACTTTCATTTTTTTAACTTGAAACCAGTAGCATAATAGCCAACTTTTTCTGATTTATATGAATACTGGGGAAATTCATCCTGGAAGGGATTAGAAGTTAGCAGGTATTCTACTCTATAATAACTTTCATTTTTTTAACTTAAACCAGTAGAATAATAGCCAACTTTTTCTGATTTATATGAATACTGGGGAAAATCATCCTGGAGGGGATTAGAAGTTAGCAGGTATTCTACTCTATAATAACTTTCATTTTTTTAACTTGAAACCGGTAGCAGAATAGCCAACTTTTTCTGATTTATATGAATACTGGGGAAAATCAACCTGGAAGGGATTAGAAGTTGGCAGGTATTCTACTCTATAATAACTTTCATTTTTTTAACTTGAAACCGGTAGCATAATAGCCAACTTGTTTTGATTTATATGAATACTGGGGAAAATCATCCTGGAAGGGATTAGAAGTTCACAGGTATTCTACTCCATAATGACTTTCATTTTTTTAACTTGAAACCGGTAGCATAATAGCCAACTTTTTCTGATTTGTATGAATACTGGGGAAAATCATCCTGGAAGGGATTAGAAGTTAGCAGGTATTCTACTCTATAATAACTTTCATTTTTTTTAACTTGAAACCGGTAGCATAATAGCCAACTTTTTTTGATTTATATGAATACTGGGGAAAATCATCCTCGAATGGATTAGAAGTTGGCAGGTATTCTACTCTATAATAACTTTCATTTTTTAAACTTTAAACCAGTAGCATATTAGCCAACTTTTTCTGATTTATTTGAATACTTACAATGGCAGTAAATTTTATGGTCTCATACTTCATTGATCTCTCGGTCTTGTTTGATTACTTCTCCATCGATTTCAGAAGTATGAAACACGAATTTTGCATTTCCTGCTTTCAGAGAAGAAGTAATTGTTTTTTTTATTGTCTTCTTAATTTAAATACTTATACAATTTTGTAATAAACTGAATGGAATAATTCGGTGGGCCACTACCAGCCCAGGAACAAGTTGAAATCCTAAAAGCCCCTGAAAGTTGAAAGCCCCTGTCTAAAGTTATGAATAGAAAGTAGGCGTTACATTGAATAATATAGCCAAATGTATACACAAACAGCCATAAAAGTAACGCCTACTGTTACTCTCACCTTACTCATTGTGGGGGAACGTTATATAAGTATAATTTTCCTTTTTATCGACAGAGAATTTTTGCCACTGAAATGACCTGTTAAAGAAAAAACCTTGTCAATGAAATGACCTATCTACGAAGTGCTTTCATTACCTTACAGATTAATTGCATACTGCCTTTTTTTCCTTGCAAATTTCACCCTTCATTAACTCCCTACATCAAGAATCATTCAAAATAGTTATTGCAGTTGCTTTTAAGATGCTAATCTACAATACTGCACTTTAAAAATTAATATTAGAAATAAATGTGTTAAATATGACTAGAAAAATAAAATTTGTAAAATACAACTTAAATGTGTAAAATACAATTACAACAACAAATGTAAAATAGGTTTCGTTTTTGCAACGTTATGTGAATAGAAGAGTATGCAATTTTCAAATAAAATGCTTCTTTTCCTACAACTTCAACATACTATAAAGATTTTGCAACAGTCTAGGTTTAAAAAATTTCAACACAAATATACTAAATTACAAAGAAGTGCTAGGGGCATAACGTCTAATCGAAAAATATATAAATATAGTTTCAAAATTACGCATGACGTTGCTTACGAAATAACCTTTTCCATAAATTGTTGACGAAAATAACCCTGTCAACGAAAGAACCTCTTGACGAAATGACTTGTCGAGGAAATAACCCAGTCGACCAAATGACCTAGTCGATGAAATGATCAGTCGATGAAGTGCTATAGATGAAACGGATTGTCGATGAATTGATTGTCGCTGAAATGAATTCGACCCTATTATATATGTATATGTTTAAATTTTTCTACTGTAACAGTAGTCTAAATCATTTTAAATCAAATTTATTTAATAATAAATAAAATGCGATTCTATATAGTTTGCCACCACATTAAAAATAAAAATAAAATCTTCCTGTAAAACTAAAAAAAAAACCTTTCTAAGCGAACAGTTCGCTGGCTTCCTTCATTTCATTTAAAAAATCCTCTCTTCTTGCAGCGTTTGCATACGCTTGTAAAAAGGGGGGAGTGCTGTCATTACGTATGTTTTATGATGACTGGAGGTAGGGCGGTCCTCACATGCCCAGTTCTCGTTCTCATACAAATGATGATTATTGCGAATATTAATCATAATATTTTACCTCTTCAGCTAGCCTTTTTCGTCAGATAAACATAATTTTTAACCCAAGTTCTTATTATTCCTTTCATACCACGAATAAGATTTTATTGCCTAGTCTTATCTTCTAATTTTGAAAAATGCCAAGGATTAGGTTGATTTATTTCATTTCCATACAGAATATACTAATATCAGAACTTTAACCGTACTGTGCTATTATTTTATTCTATTATTTTCTTAAAACTATTTTGTGCAAACAAATTTCCTTTTCATTTGAATCAAACTATAGAATTAAAAAAATTTATTGTTCTAAATCAGCTAGTTTTCTCTAAACTTTAATTTGTCATAAAATTGATTTATACGCTTTTACTTAAACCTTTTGGGGACGGGTAATTCAGAAAAGCATTCGTACAAAAATCAGGATCAGGACGTAATTAAATAAAAAACGGTAACTTAAATGTAGTCGTTCCTAATTTGACAGAATTACTTTGCTTTTACTTTAATTATTGTTAGTTTAATCATATATATAATCAATGTTAATTCAAAGTATAACTAAATAGTTTTATTTTGAACAAAGTAATGGTGAATTAAATAAATCAAACAATTATAACTCCGCCCACAAATAAACTGCTAAAGAAATACTTTGATTACCAGTTTTATCTTTTTACCCTGGTTAATACGGTTTTATGCTGGCACGTATTTGTGACAGTCGGCGCGGAAGGGTTAAGGTCCGGTTCGAAAATTGTCGCCTATACACTTCTTAAGAAAAAATTTAATGTAAATAATAATAAATAATTTTAATTTAATAATAAATTTAAAAATAAACTATTTTAGTATTTAAAATTTTTGTATTTCAATATATCGTAACCACACGTCTTATAATTTATGATTACCAGTAGTCAGGTAATAATATTGCATCATATCTTCAGGTCTGATAACTACAGCGCTCTTTTCAAAATATTTTTTAATGTTGTCAGAGTTGCCACCAACGACTAAAAATGCAAAAAATTACTATTACCTACTTTTCATAGAATTTTTCAGAGATACTTGGTATTGGTGTAAACTCGGTATTTGGCGCGAAAAGTCACCGCCCGTTTGATCTGTACTGAGTAACTCGATATATACTATTGTAAAAGTTTGCTCGACCTCCTTTGAGCTTTTAATCTTCTTTTTTTTTCACTTTTCCTCATGTTCGATGTCTCGGATACTGTGTGATGCTACTTATAATTTTGAAGTTTAAACTTGGCACTTCGCCTTTTTTATCTTTGATGATTGATATTTCAAATGCGGATAAAATGCCCGAAACCTTTCTGGTCAAAGATAAGTGGTGACCCGGACATGATGAAATGAAAAAGAGGAGAAAATGAAAAGCGCAAAGGAGAAAGAACAAACTTTTGACAATAGTATCTCCACACATTTCATTGATATGAATTCAGTTCAGTTCGTTTCAGGTTATTATTATTGCTTTATTGAAATTACATACATTTGCAGGCTTGTGTGCTCAATTTAGGCTTATAAACCTTTGTCAAGTAGAAAGACAGATAGAACAATTCAGAGAAGGACATCACGAAGAATACATCCAGGGTTACGGCGGAGTTCGAACCCGCTACCTCCACGCTTTGCTCAGTGCTTGGCGGGTGATACCGCTCGGCCAGGGAGGTCCCTCGTTTCAGGTTACACTTCAAGATTGGTCTAGAAGCTCACATGTACACTGGAACTTCGGTACTCGAACCTAGTATGTCGTTGATTCCCATGTCGGTGCTTGAACCTACTGTGTTAATTACACCATAAGTTGAATGCTAAAAGTGAGGCCCAAAAGAGAGTGTTTAAGATAAGTAGGTAGGTGCTTAATTTATGTCACACTAGAACTGCACAATGAGCTATTGGCGACGGTTTGAAGGCATGTTTACCTCAATCCGTAATCCGGAGTTTCCTTCTCTTTTGTGTTGGATTCAAAATTGAAGTTGACTGTTAGTGGCTATCACAACTGTTCAACGATTAATATAAAATAAAATAAAACAATACTGATAAAATGTGATTGGAAACAATAATAAGAATTAAGTACGTTGGTATTTACGAGTAAATTGTTAAAATGAGAAATTTATCATAACTGCAATGAATTTCTGGCACATTTCACATTTTTTTGGTGCATGTTCTAGCGTAGCATTATCCCAGAACTAGAACACACTGCCTTCTTATCAGCAAATTAAAATTTATTCTCATTGAATTTCATTTTTATTTTTCTTGTTGTTGATAAACTTATTAATTGGTCCACCTTTACCAAATGATTAACGAATCAAAAACGTTCATTTTTCTACAAGGTTAAAAGAGATGAAACACCATGATTAAAACGGTACTTCTGTAAATTCCCATTTACCAGGAAAGTTGGTGCATATTCCACGTTATTGGAATAAAATCGGCTCATATTATAAATAGTGCATAGGACAGGGGTGGCGAACCTTTATGCACCAACGTGCCATTTTTTCAAAATATTGTTTAATGTGGTCATAGATGTGCCATCAAATAATTTTGACTTTGTGATTATTGAGAAAATAATATTACTAAATACTATCAACTCAAAACTCTTTATTTACTATGGAAAAAAAAAACATTTTGCAGTGTCTCAGTTATAGGCGTAATTCAACTTAAAGTAACCAGTGTGATTTTTGTTATTGCAGATTAGATGACAAATAACTTATATTAGGTTGTAAGATGTTAGTTTAAGCAGGACCATTAACTTTTTTCTCTTTTTGCTCTTTATTGAAGTTATACTTCTTATGCGACTTCCAACAAGGTTGCGTTAAACGTTTAACGCTACATTTTTATTGGCCGGGAAATCACGTGGTAGGATCCAGTTTTCCCTCATTCATTTCCATATTGTTTTGGTTCTCACTAGCATAAAAGTATTGTTTTTCTATAAATAATTTTTCAGTTTGTTTTGATACACATATAATTTAATAGGGTAGTCTTTTTTATTTCAAAATTTAGTGGATAACAATGCGACGGATTTAAGGTTATGTCAAGGTACGTCTCTTGTGAATATCAAATGATTGTTATGTTTTCTCTTTTGAAATTACATTATGACGCATTCACATACATTATTAATACAAATACATTTTCCATGGCGAGACGATGAGGTAACCACAAGCACTTCCACCGGTTCAAGAGGTTCACGAGGGAAAAATGCACAATATTACCGTGATTACAGAGCACGGAAGCGAGCGGAGCAGAGTCGTTGAATAGAACTAGTGATCCTTCTACGACTGCTGATTCTTCTACAATTAACGTCGCAGGTTGCGAAGTTTAACTTCTTCCGCGCGGAGGGACTCCACGCACTATTTTTTTTTAATGTTAGCTTGCTTTGTATGGTTATTAATTGTTTTTTTAAATAACTTATGTTAGGTTGTATGATGTTAGTTTAAGCAGGACTATTATTTTTTTTCTCGTTATTTATTGTCAGCTCGTTTTTTGTGGTTATTAATTGTTTTTTTGGCATTAATTGTTAATTTTTGTCAATTGTTTTCTTTTATTTGTTTTTTGTGAATTTTAATTTAATAGTTAATATGCTTTATAGTGAAATTTGAGATCAGTGGCATGCGCAGAATATTGTGTAGTGTGTCATTTATGGCACGCGTGCCATTGGTTCGCCATCCCTGGCATAGGGAATTAAAACGAAAAATAAATTTTTAAAAACATTTAAAAATGTTTTAGAATAGTTCGGCTTTACCCTGTCCAGCCATCACCTCCTACATAAAAAAGCCTCTACACGGTTTCTTATAAGTAGTCTGCGCAGATTACTTAGAAAGCGAACCATTTGTGCGCAAGAACCCATATTCTATTTTAAAAGTACTCGAGAGAAATTTAACATATAAATTTGAGAATTGAATCTGTAGTGGTTGACAAGTAATTAAAACAAACCAATAATATTCATAAATTAAACAAATGTTTAGACACATATTTGCTACCACTTTCTAATTTTTAATGGATTTTATATTAAACTAGGAGGCTTCGCCCCCTGCTCACCGGCACTCTCGCCAACCCCCGGAACAGCTTTCGCCGTTCATTTCGGATTGCTTCGCAATCCCATGCTCGCTTTGCTCGCTCATTGGATACGGTCTTCACGTCTAGCTTTTGTATACTTTTTTGAACACTGAAGGAAGAAAAAAAAATTGATCTTTTGAAACATCACAAGAAAAAATTCCATTTTTACACTTCAATGGTAACAAAGAGAAGGCCATTGAAAGAAACCGAAAAGCATGTGGTTACTCAAAAAATATAACATTTTCTTTACAAAGAGGAGCCACTTTTCNGAGGTTCCAAACCATGTGTTGTAAAACAATATGAAATAGTACTGAACGCCGGATGTAAAGCATTCGCTTCGATGAAAATAATTTTGTTAGAATGTTTTTGATAATTCGGTGAGAATTCACTCGATTAGACATATGATACTCACTACGTGCTCTTGCTCGCCGAAACCTATCAATTAAAACGTATTAATGTTTTATATAATATAGATTAGCCATATGATGCTCACTACGTGCTCTTGCGCGCCGAATCCTATCAATTAAAAATCAAAACTGTTGCCAATGCGAGAAAAGAAATATCATCGGTTTTATTGATACATACGTATTAGCGTTTTATATAATATAGATGGTTCTTTCACCAATAGGTTTATCTTCATAGTGGTGTCTGATCGGACTACCTACAAAAAACCGTGTGGAGGCTTTCGGTTATAAGAGGCGATGACCCAACCCCCCTTCGAGGAATCCAGGGAATACTGTTGAAGGATCGGTTTAGGCAAGATCCTTAATTCTGTTTTCAAAAAGTCTTTTAAAAATCTCTTCAATTCCTTTGCTCATTTTCTTTTGGTCTCAGTTTCTTTTAATGGTATCAAAGATGAAATTTCTAGGGAAAAATTTAATTCTTAAACCATCATAAACTGGACAGACAGTAAGTATGCGTTCTATATCTTCATATCTCTTACAAACTTTACAGTTTTGGTCTTTTCCGAACTATTTTGACAGATAACTACCCTGGGCTCCATGGCTAGTTAGAAATTGATTGATATAGAAGTTGGAGTAGATTTTAAATATGTATGATTTTAACAACAACAACAAAAAACTAACGAAAAATCTGTAAAAAAATAACAATATAATGGCGGCTAAGACTCCCTAATGGTATTAAAAATCGCTGCAAATAAGTACGGTTGCCAACTTTGGCTTTGGTGAAAATGGTAGACGAGATTTTACAAAAGTACCCTAATGATTCACATATGCTAAATTTGTCATAAAATTATATTTATTAACTTGAACATCATTACACTTTTAGAATACAGACCAAATATCACTTAAAACACTTTATACCAACAAATGTTACAGAGCATGCTATAAATATAAAACTATCATGCTCATAATCCATTTTCAGAAAACAGTTTACTTGGAAATAAAGCATTGAGGAAATAAAACATGCTGCTTGTACTTGTGCTGAGAATATAAATAGAAAGTGGTGTGTGGACTTGAAACAGCTTTTCGATCAACTTTCTAACTTGCCAAGACTAAGCTTTCTCTACGATATTGTTCTAGGCTACATTTCGTATGTATCTTAAGTTAAATTTATATATGATTTGGAGGGTTTATAACTTTGAACAATAGTGACTTTTCAATTTCATTGTTTTCTAGCAAAAATATTATCTCGTGTGTTTTGAAATAATAGTATTTTAAGTCATATTTTCTAGACGGATGTATTAAGAAAAATAAAGGGTAAATAAGAATTATTTAGCCAACATAAACAAGCAATAATCTGTTAAAGTAATTGTGTTTTGAAAAAAGGAAACCAACACCCAGGAAAATCACATATGAAAAAGTTTACAAAAAATACGAGAAATTACATAAAGAACGTTGAAAGTATCTGGAAATAAATGAAGAAATACGTTATACACATATAATGAAACGAAGACACGTGATAACACCTAAAAATAAATGAAACAATCGAGATGTCCAAGCCAGAAGTTGAGCTACATCACGGAATGGAATAAATCCATTTCTATTTGTTGTTCGTTTGCACCATTTCTATTGGGCGATTTATATTCATGAAACACATTTCTACTGGTTGCTATCTGTAACTCATTCTTCATTGATTGATTGCTTGGGGACAGATAAGTGAAGCGTCATCAGCTTAGACATTTCAATGCACGAAAAATAAAACTCCAACTGTTGGATCACGCGCAAACGTCGTAACTCAACTATCCTATTTTTTAGGATTAACTGCTTGTCAAAATTGGTTAAATAATTTTTATCCGTATAGCTTATTATGATAATTATTACTACAAAATTGTTACTCAGTGAATTTTTGATAGATAACTTTTCCTTAAAAAAATTTTTAAAAAAACTTAACATACTATACATCTAAAACTGTTAAATATATTTAAATGTTTAATCGACTGTTTTTGTACATTCTTTTTGAAAAACAAATAAATATAGATACATATCCTCTGAATTTTATTTTATTTCTAAATTAAATTTTTACTTCGTTGAAACGCTTTACTTTATGTCCTTGCAAGCAATAATGCACCATTCATTTTAATCATTTAAAAAAAAATATCTGTAATCCATAAGACGAAATCATTTAATCCAACATTCGCGATCGCAACGCTTGAATATGCTATCTGGGTAGCAGTTTCATATCTTGACCCTCTCCTCCTCTTCTCAGTTGTATAAGAATTTACTACAATATTTTCGCCTTTCTTAATATTTTTTGTATTTAATTGCCACAAATATTTTTTTAATGTAGTTTTCAGTTCCTAACTTAAAAGTTCTTATTCTATTTGAAAATCAAGAGAGAAACTAACGCGCTTCCATCTAATATGACTCTCCACATGCTAATGGTAAAATCATGGAAAATGTTGCCATAGGTAGAGAGTTCTGCTCTACACCACCTGTAGCCCAATTTCGATCGCCAATCGATACACATTATGTTTAGAACAATCATATATTTCAATGCTACGATCTGAAATTATAACTTATTTATATTTTTCAATCAATGCTAGTATATGAAAATTTTCATGTATTTTAAAATTTACGAATGAGCATTTCCGCTGAAAATTGTTAAACACTAGCAAGCATTTTTATGAAAGGATAAAACCTAAAAATTTACTTAACTTTCTCGCAACATTGTAAATAACTACAGAATCATAACTAAGCGCCCATCTTTCATAAAGATGGGCGCTTATCATCAACTCATTTTCATCAACTCATTTTCATTAAGCTTTTTCGCTAAAAACTGTTTAACACTCGCAAGCATTCTTATGAATGTATAAAACCCAAAAGCCTACCAAACTTCTCCACCACATTGTCATAACTACAAAGTCATAACTAAATGCCCATCTTTCATTAAGATTACAACTCATTTTCATTGAGCTTTTTCGCTAAAAAATATTAAACACTCACAAGCATTTTCATGAGAGGATAAAACACAAACGTTTATTTAACTTTCTCGCCATTTAGTAGATAACTACAAAGTCATAACTAAACGCCCATCTTTCATTAAGATTACAACTGATTTTCATTGAGCTTTTTCGCTAAAAATTGCTTAACACTCGCAAGCATTCTTATGAATGTATAAAACCCAAAAGTTTACTTAACTTTCTCGCCGCATTGTAGATAACTACAAAGTCATAACTAAACGCCCATCTTTCATCAAGAATACAATTCATTTTCTTCCCTTCTCGATTTGAATTCCCATCGATTTACCATTAATTCCCACCTTCCCCTATCTCAACCTCAGACATTTGCAATATATCCTCCTCATCGAATCACTTTATTGATTACTCAGCAGCCTCCCAGGTGTATACAAATCCCGTCTTAGTGTGTTTTTTCTCTTTACTTTTTACATCATTTAACGCAATAAATGTAAATGGGAAAAAAAAACTCTATGATGTAAGTGCATTCCAATATTTTTATAAACATTAATTTGTCTCACTTCACTAATTGTTACTCGAAAATCTTCAATGAAAAATTTAAAGTTTTCCGAATAAACAAAACAATTCTTTATTTGTCAAATGATTTAAAATACTTCAAATATTTCCCTTTTCCACAACAATAAATATTACCCAGGTAAGTTATGTTAAATTATGGTGCCGAAATTTCGTAAATTGAAGAAGTTAAGCACTTTTTTAAGGAAGTTATGGTTAATACTCTAACATTTTTTTAACACTTAACTAAAACGTTAGTTAAAACTATTCGATAATAGCGAAATGCACTGCAAAGTATTTGAATTTGTGAGAATTTAACTACATTAATGCGATTACTTCTAATTTCTGTCTGGTACTCTAATTATTGCAAATAAGTGATTATCGGTTGTCGAAATTCATATAACAATAATTCAGTGATTCTTAATGCATGGCAAAACGCTTAAAACAATGCATCGCTGATCAAGACTAATTTCAGTTACTTTACATGTAGTCTCATACAGAACAGATCTACTAAAAATGATTTTGGCGGTCAGTTATGATGTTTGGTTCAGCACTGTTTGCCTTGCTGTCCCTTTCTGTGACCTGGAGGGTAGATGAGGTGTTGTGGCTCATGCAGAAAGAGTTGGACTGTCTTGCTGAGCAGAAGAAATAGGACTGAAATTTTACACCAAGGTTTAGTTGTTTTCGTTATAATGAATCATTCGGTAGTTGGACTGATGGTGGTGGCAATGATTTCAGTGGCGTTATCGGGGGCAGTTGTTTGTACGAGCGTCGTTGATGCTGGTGCATCTGAAGACGAATCGCACATCTCTTGGTGAACATTAAACCGGAAGCCGTCTCTTGTCGTCACGTGGTCACTCTGGAATTCAATAACTAGAGTCGAGTTTAGGAAGCTTGTGTCAACTGAAAAAAAAAGGGAATATTTAAAATTGTTTAATAAAATATAAATTTCAAGAAGGTTTAAATATCTAAGTAAAGAAGAAATAATTCTCATGGAGTTATATAATTTTTTTTTTAATTTTTAATCTTATAAAACAGGATGCCAGGGATATTTTACAAAGTTTAAGGTAAATCAGATTAGAATTCCCTACGAAATAAAAGGTTCCATTAACCCCTTGGGGACGGGTAATTCAGAAAAGCATTCGTACAAAAATGAGGATCAGGACGTAATTAAATAAAAAACGGTAACTTAAATGTAGTCGTTTCTAATTTGACAGACTTACTTTGCTTTTACTTTAATTATTGTTAGTTTAATCATATATATAATCAATGTTAATTCAAAGTATAACTAGTTTTATTTTGAACAAAGTAATGGTGAATTAAATAAATCAAACAATTATAACTCCGTCCACAAATAAACTGCTAAAGAAATACTTTGATTACCAGTTTTATCTTTTTACCCTGATTGATATAGTTTTATGCTGCCACGTATTTCTGACAGTAGGAGCAAAGGGATTACAGAACTGCAAACTTTATCCGGATGAGGAAAAATATTTGTAGTGGTAGTCGTTTAACATACCTGCCAACTTTTAATCCTTTCCATTATTATTTTTCCCAGTGGTATTAAAATGGAATTAAAACTTCAATTTTAAGCAAATAAATACGGTGTATTTGAGAAAACTTAAGTTGACAACCATGATAGTAACGCATATTTATATATGTGTTTAATTTTTGTAACAATAGTGGTGATCAAAATCATTTAAAAATTAAAATTATAAAAGAAAAAATAGTATATATTTACTACCACTTTAAATATGAAAATAAAATCTTCCGGAAGAGTTGGCAGGTATGGTTTAATGTAAGATTCTTGGTTTAGTAAATTCAATCTATAATATTTTTTTTCTCACCACTACTACTAAATAGTTCACAGCCTTATGTGATACCCTACTGTACTACAGGTAAACAGGAATGCTACATATGACTAAAATTGTAAGAAGTGTAAAAATTCAAATCTTTTTTTTTTATTTAATCAGTTTAATTATTCAACCATAGTTACCAAGACTTACATTAAAAACTATTAATATTTACAGTGAAATTAATCTTTACATTCAAAGTTACTGATTTTTATCCTTAGTAGACTTTTGCTTTTTATTAGTCAGCACTTTTCGCATTTTTAGTCGCCTGTGGCATCATTTCTTAAGTCGTGGTGAGACTTTTAAAAAGTTAGTAAAATTTACTGAAAATCTTCAAATATTGTTTGTAGTTCTCTATTAGTTTCTAAAATATTTCGTCGAATTCGGAGCAGTTGGCATCTCTACATTAGACTCGAGGAATCGGAAGTAAAAATGGAAAAATTGAGTTTTTTTTTAAAACTCTTTTCAGGTCAATGGACACGATTTCTCAAAAACTAATCAGTTGATCAAATTAAAATTTTAAGGAAACCGTACATACCTCTTCAAGTAAAGAATGCGTTCGAAAGAAAGATTATTTTACTAAGCCATGCATCGTCTAGTCTAGACTATACAAATTATCAAACTTTTGCATACGACACAGTCAAAAATTATCTTAATTTATTTGATAATGAATAGTCTTGAAAAAGTCTCTTCAACCACTGATTTTCCAAAATCTCAAATTATAATTCAAAATCTATTTTAAATATTTATCTTTTCAATCATGAGTTTTACTAAAGATATACGCAAATCTATCTATCTATCTATCTATCTATCTATCTATCTATCTATCTATCTATCTATCTATCT